GGGAGCGTCAGAGATTCACTGCTCAAGTGGAGAATGTGTTGGAAGAACAGAAAAAGAAAAAGCTGTAAAAAGACTGACCTGTTTGTAGTTTTCCACAAGTCATTATGAAAATACAGCCAACATGTTTAAGAAGGGGATCCAGTCTGAGTAGAACTAAAATAACATAACATTTACACGTGGAATAAACTGAACTGTTTTTTTGTTTTTTGTTTTTTATCAGACTAGTTAAAAAATAAATTTTAGTGGCTCTCATTACAGGACATTTGTTATTGTTAAGAAAGTGGATTAAAATCCTCTGACTTCATAGGGATGTGAGGAGGCAAAGTAGGAAGGAGATTTTAAGAAGTCATCTGTTTTAAAGAAACTTTATTTACTCTAAAGAGACAGAAAATGGTTTCTTAAGCAGCTTCTTTTTAATTAAAGTTTTTATTCTCTTAGAGTTGGAGAGCAGACTGAGATCCAGTGAAAAACAGCTGGAAGATTTGAGGACAGCAAACACAGGTATTTTTACTGACTTATAGAAAATAATAACATTTGTTTTGTGGATATAAAAATCCAACTGATATTCAATGAGAAAAACTGGGAACAGTTAAAGTTTCACACTCGTTGCTACAGAACTGAGGTCCATTTATGAAGCAGCTTCACTGAAAACTTCACATTTTCTAAGTTTTCTGTTTCCTCACCCTCTGTATCTGTTGCCATAGTAACATCCTCCCAGAGCTAACCTGGTCAGCAGCAGGTTTCCATCAGTAAACTCAGACTTTCCTCTGTCTCCACTCTCCTTACAGCCAATCACGCTGCTCTATTTCCTGATTTAGTCTGATTTTTGTCCCAGTTTTGTGCATAAAATAAAATATAATTTATAATTTATGCTTAACTGAGTGGTGGCCCAGTGGTTAGAGCATAGAGTTTGGAATCCAGAGGTTCTGAGTTCGAGCCCCACTCCTATGGACTGCCACTCTGGGTCCCTGAGAGAATGACCCTTAGCCCCATACTGCTCCCCGGGCGCTGCACAATGGCAGCCTACTGCTCCCCAAGGGGATTAAATGCAGAGAATTTATTTCTTGCTCAGTGCTTGTGACAGTGGAATGAAAATAAAAGCTAGGAAAAAAAATGTACATCTGGTTGCCCAAATGAGCTGATGGTACGGATCGGGTAGTGACATGCATCCTTCTCTTAGCCCATTTTGAAGGATGGGTCCGCTGCATTCTCCATAGCCTTGGGTATCCCAGGATTCATTGTGAGTCCAAGCAATCTGGCTGCTCTGTGCTCAGAGGAAAAAGGGAAACGGTGCTGAATCTGGATCTAATATCTGAGACAACGGTACTGCTGCTGAAGCTCCTCTTTACCTGCTTTGTGTGTCAACTGTAATGGTTGCTAGGGGATTGAGCATTCGGGAGGTAAAAGGGGGAAAAGGCTGGACCTGTTTGAATCCATTGCCAAACTCTTCCAAAATTCCTCCTTATTTTCATGGACCTCCGTTGCAGCCTCTGAAATCAAACGCACCCTTGGTCTGACCTAAGATGGCCACTCTGTCAGCGCACCTCTCACCCGATGACACAGGGTCTAAAGATGTTTATGGTCTGCCCCACTATAGTGTGCACCTCAATGAGTTGCTAATTATTGGGTGGTAGCGACACACTAAACCTAGCTAACAGTGTGTCTCAAGCCAAGTATTTGTGTTGTTAGAGCAGATTTTCTGATACATTTGTTTTGGGTTGTTTTTTAAGTAAGAGCAGCAGAACTGGCTTTTCTTGCAGAAAGACTGACAGCCGCTCAGAGGAACTCAGAAGGTAAATTCTTCCAGCTGATGTTCATCTAAGCTCAATATCTGACAGAACTCCAACTGGTCCAAACCATTTCTTCCAGCTGAGCTGAAGGTGGCCTTTTCAGTCGGTCTGACTGACTCAGGGATTGTTGGACCATTTGAAGAAGAAACAACTCTTATCTTCTCCAAAACCATCACGAACATTGGCCAAGGCTACAACAGCTCCTCAGGTAATCGGGCCGATCCCTGAAGGAGCTCCTCCTGGTTCTTCTAATTTGAATTGATGAATTAAGGTCTTGTCTGTGCTGCAGGTGTTTTCACCGCTCCTGTTAGAGGACTTTACTTCTTCAGCTTTACGGCTGCAGATTACCAGAAGGGGTACATGGGTCTGTACCTGTACAGGAACCAGCAGCCTGTCCTCTTCAGCCTGGACCTGAACGACCACGGCGGATACACCTCCACAACCAGTGTGGTGGTTCTGCAACTGGAGGGGGGAGACATTGTCCGCCTGGCTTTGCCGGCCAGCTACCGCCTCTATGACGACTCACGGAGCTTCAGCGTGTTCTCTGGCTTCCTGCTGTTCCCAGTCTGACACCGCCGGTCCACATACAACACATGGACTTCATTCAGAATCAAATAAAAAGTTAGAACTTTGATTCAGGTCAGAGAAGAAGGTTTTATGGTGCCATTTTCAACAAACACAGGCTGAGGGGGTGGGGGCCTCTTGGCACCTGTGAGTCTCCAAACTTATTAAAACATAACAAAAAATTTGGGGTTAGCTTCATCTGGATTTATAGACAGATATA